TAGCAGCACTCACTATCACTGGCTCTCCTGGATGGATCTTATACCCCGCTGGACACGGTGTCCGTCTAAAAGCATGCTCAGAGTTCCCAGTGGCGATAATTGAACAACCAACATGTCACGCAGATATTCCCGTTCAATTGGAGAATACAACCCAAATTATGTATATGGACGCCTTGACTAGAACCTCCTGCACATATATCCGTAACCCAGAAGACCCCCTCCCTCTTGCAACCCCGTCTATGCCTTCCTTGAAAGATTCGCTCCCATCATACGTTTCCCACTAAAACTAGTTCATCACCACCCATTCGCGCAACTTATCCCCATTATTTTTCTTTATAGTGCCATGCAAATCAACACTGTGAACCAGATAATATTCCATGAATTCCTCACTAGATGGGCCACTAACGACAGGATTGTATCCCACTTTTACCTGTTCGGACCACAAAACTTATTAACACAGCTCCGAGAGGAGCTGTTCCACATGTTCGACTCCGAATGTAGGCTGCTGTGCTTAGTAGTAAACCATGAGCAGACTTATATACGAATACTTCGCAACAATGCTAAAATGTTTTCAGTTGACTTCACTGTTACAGACGATCCATCCCTAGAGATGATCCAACTGTATTAATAAGTACTCTTAGATTTTAGAAATTAAATTTTATGTTACCTTTTAGTTGATAGAAAAGCCTGCAACCCCCCCCCCTCTTGTCACTCCAAAATTTCAATTACCTAAATTTTTTTCCAGCATGGCAATGTACGAGTCACTTATGGACCAATACCCCTTCGTCCGAGCCTTACTGAAGAAATGTGATGATGAAGCAAGAATAAATCTAAGTTATGCATATGCATTGCCGTTAGATGTGACCAAATTCTATTTTAAAACTCTATATTTTTCCATTATCCCACAGTCCTTCTTAAAAGACTACAATGACGAATTTCCATGGGACATCCTGTCCATTAGATATATATTCTCCGTTAATCAACTGAAGCGTTTTGGTCACAAAATCAATTGTTGTCTGTACAGTAGAACAGATATCCTGACGGAGCATGGAATTGAGATTTTTCATGAAAGTCTCTGTTGGTATTACGTCAGTGCCAGCAGATTCTTAACGCCCGATTCTATTTCTAAATTTGCCTGGCGTTGCAAACCAGCCAGCTACATCCTCGGTTTAAAAAGCAATTGAATTCACAGCATTTTTATGCCATGCATACATATAACTGCAATGGCCCACCAGATAGACACCAGGGAAAGTCATACGCCCACCCCACATTGCCAATGCAATCCGCATTTACCCTACACTGCTAATAAGCAAGATCTTTTAAAGCACCTCTAGTAACGCTACACAGCGCCTTATTATCTAACTTCTAGTGCTCTCCATTCATTGAACGTTTGGCAAGGGATGTGCTGAACGTCAAGTCTCTCGTCCTCTCGGCACTAGAGTCAGGGCAAACCCTTGGTGCAGAGGTGCTTGAACCTAGACTTCAAATGCATTAATTAGCTATTACTGCTCTAGCTGTACGTCAAATAATAATAATTAATCTCTTAAATGAGTTGGAGGAGTGATAAGACCTGATACGTCCAAATGTACGATGAAGAGCGGTCTTCGCACATACCTTTTATCCTTAGAATTTTGAAATGGCAATTTTGTTTGCTTGCCACTAATACAAGCTTCACATAAATTTTCGCTCGGCATATCATTTTCAATTCGATCTATGTCATCAATGAGCTGATACCTTTTTAACTCTAAAAATTTAGCTTTACTTATGTGACCTAAACGTTCATGCCATAATTTGTACTTATTGAAAGATGATGCACTGTAAGCCATTGTTTTGTTAATCATGAAATTCACAGAGAATAAATTATTAAACGGCTTACCGATCGTTACAACCGTACTTCCCTTTTTTATTGTTACTCCTTACTGATTAAAGATCACATCAAATCCAGCTTCCTGAATTTTTCTTACAGAGAGTGTCACAGGTATTGAATTACCTGCAACTTGTTCTTTTCTTAAACTTATAAATTTCTCATGCATATCAATAACTCATTAGGGATGGCTGGATTTTGTCCATTTTCCTCTTTTTTACTTCTATCATCCAGCCATCTCCTACAATTGCCCATTAATTTAATTTCTCAACTTGCAACCGATAGCTCCACTGATTATAGCCAGCCAATAGCGTGTAGACTTGAAGTCTCACCACCGGTGACGTCAGCAAGTCTATAAAAGCTTGCGCTGCCCCAAAATCTTGGTCCTTTACCATCTGACCTGTACATGTACGTTGTGCCCTTTTTCGCCCTTTTGACACACCCAAGTGACTATTTTAAATCTGTAATTCTCTCTCTTTCGGTCAATACAATCTCTCTAAATTTCCATTTCAAAATTTCGTTTCTTTATTTTCATCACCCGTAGTTGTTGGATCTACTTTATCAAAACCCAACAGGAGAACAGGAGAATCACTACGCTCATGTGGTTGGAAGGATATCGCGATGCTCATGCAAAACGATACCTTCTTCACGACATTTACACGAACGGAACTGGAACCGCCGGTGAAGAATGCGCTCTGCGACTTATGGCTAAACTTAGAACAGGAACATATTGCATCGCATCGCATGGAGGACACCTCCACGTCTTACACACATGAGACTACAACAATTCCACCTGTAGCTGCTACATCACCAAAGTCCTCAGGTCTCGGTTCGGGAAATGGGTGGCTAGAACGTGCGCTAGCTCAAGAAACATTTCATTCGAAAGATGGCGTTCTATCGCAGTATATATGTCACACGGAACACGGGTCGTGCTTAAAATTAACCACTCCAAGGGAGATTGGGTTCGAGGTGGCGAAAATCGAACTCTACCCGTTCACGGAAGTGGTGAACGAAGATCGTCTTAATTGGTGGAGGGCGGCACGGACCAGAGCTCTCGTTCATTTCAATTCGCCTTTGGACCCGGATCTACAGACGATAAAACGAATACTGGACAGGAAGGCGCAGCAAATCTCGGAGATGGAAGGCACGGAAAAGAAGGTAACACGAGTGGCATCGGACAAACCGGAACGCAAAGGTCCCACAAGGGGGAACAAATCCTGAATATGATTATGACGTCAGCTGTAACTCCTTTAGCCCGCTTTTTTGACTCCCACTTATGGCTCGAATCACACTATAAATGGATGCCAAATGATCAGAAATCCCTCAGGCAAGCGTTAAAATTGGCGCAGTATTCTATTAGTAAAATGTCGGTAATTAAAATTTTCAATCATGTTAATAATATTAATACCGATAAATTATTATTCGCTAGTGATACTCCTTCAGAGTATTATATCAATATTACAAAATCCTTCGATATATGCATGGAACTTTTGAGCTGGCAGATGGGTTTCGAAAATATTAAAAAATTTTTACAGGATATTTTTGACATCTTAGAAAAAGTGCGCCCAAAAGTAAACACTCTCTTCATTTTGGGTATCTGCTTTGACTATGATGTTAGTCTAAACACCTCCTACTGTCTCTCTACCCCGTATTAGTATGAAGAAACTGAAAAAACAAAATACTGTGTCTCAGAATTCTCAGTCCCATAACTGCCTAATTCCTCTAATTGTATCATGGACCTGCTCTTTTATTCCCTACTTACTGAATCTATTCTATTAATAAAAAATAAAAAAAAAAAAAAAAAAGCTCTCAATATCAAACATTCGTATGCACCCAGCTCTTCTCCCTAAATTCACTCGCTACTATCACTTAGCCCTGCTATCATGAAATTTGACACGTAGGCATTCTTACAAATACCCAAACCATCCTCTGGCCCCTGTTCAGTCTTTCTTTAACCTCATAAGTACACGTAGCCCTGTCCTTCGTTCCTTCTGTAGCGGTACAGTTTAGTCTTTCTTGTCCAGTGTATTCTGTGCCTTGTGTGTATTCTTTGTGTGTATCACTTAGCCCTGCTGTCGTGAGATTTGTCACATAGGCATTCTTACAAATACCCAAACCATCCTCCGGCCCCTGCTCAGTCTTTCCTCGACCTTGCAGGTACACGTAGCCCTGTCCTTCGTTCATTCCGTAGCAGTACAGTTTAGTCTTCCTTATCCAGTGTATTGTATACCTTGTGTGAATTCTCTAATTCTCTCTTCCTCGGTCATGAAAAAAGACACATTTCAGTAACAACCACTGAGTATTTAGATCACAAAACAATACGATAAGACTAAACAATTGTGGGAGTCTACACGGTATACCATGAAAGACCGACAGATCGCAAACGACCACACTTGTGATTAATGGACCACTAGACAAGGTACGAATTTCAGCATTCTGATACATGTTTCTCAACCAAAATTTCACGTAGAACACGATACGCACAACGAAAATTACCAAAATCAACTCCTGACGAAGATATTTAATGATTCTTGATGCGTGAATTCAAACCACCCGCTCATGAAAACTCAATGCTCTACGTGATTCACATCGCGCGCTAAATGTTTATCATGACAGTCTCTGCAATGTAAAAATCTGACAACCTCAATCTTGACTCTTTGGCTCAGCTATAGCAAATTACCAATAGTTTGAACAACACATGGTGGAAAATGAACATTGCTCGATTGAGAAGCTTGCTGAAACCGTTGTAGTGCGCGATTTGACTCACGTAGAGCTTTGAGTTTCTTGTGAGCGGGCAGTTCAAATTCCTCTTAACCAATGTGAAATAAAAACGTTAATATCTTCGTTGGAAGTTGATTTCGGTAATTTTCGTAGTGTGAATCGTGTTCTACGTGAAATTCTGGTTAATAAACATGTATCAGGTTGCTTAAATTCGTACCTTGTCTAGTGGTCCATTGATGAGTATGTAACTGATAGGAAATTCATAGTAAAGTCGAAATATTGCATCATCATTTACCAGAATACATCTTGGATACTAGATTATATGCAAATTGTGGCAATAACTGATACTGCATGCTCCCGGTATCTTCTTCTATTATCCTGCCATCTTGCTCTCGTAGACCAATTCCTTGGTCAATTTTCATTTTTCTTTGTTAACTTTTAATTCAGACACAAACTCTACGACCAAATTGTAATTAGTCCATACATAAGTACTTTTAAGGGAGGTGTAATGTGCAACGCACGGTTTCCCCTTCTGTGAAAATGTATATTCTTTACAATAAAGTAGTTCAAATAAGAAAAAGGGGAAAAAAAGAAACTACTTGGGTGGCAGTAGAATGAGGCTTTGGATTTGTACCAAATATTAAGAAGATCATTGTGACAAATCAAGCCAAAGATGCCAAAAGTGTGCTAAAGATGTCAAAATTGTAATCTCTTCTACATATACTATTTAGAATGGATTTTCCAATCCATGGGCACGGAAACAGAACAATCTATGATCTTAATTATATTTTTACCATGTAGGTCACAAATAACGCAAGACACACTTCAGATTACCCATGGGACTTTAAGTCATTCACTGAGACATTTAATAGAACATTCCAAAGTTTTGCCTAAAACAGCTTGAATCGCAATACTTCTCAGACTTGAAGCAGACTGAAAAATGAAAACCAAACGCACGGCAGATACTTTGAAAAATCTCTGAAACGGCAAACTTTTCAGTACATATTCCTCTCCTTAGAACTATAACTGATTCATAAATTAAACTTAACGATTTAAAAATTGGTTAAGATTCTTGTATGAGATTACTTTGCAGTGAGAACTTCTCAGTTCCCACAAAATAACAAAAAATAAAATAAAATAAAAATTAGTACATAAAAAATAAAGAAATATGAATGGAATGATCCGTAAAAATATGACTAAGTGGAAAGACTTTGAAAGTATCAACGCAGCAGAAAAATTTGACACCATAAAGTTTTTTGATTTGGATGGTTTCGTCTAGGATGACCACAAAAATATGGAAAACAAACGGATTTTCATTTTTCACCACCGATTGTTGGAAAATTTTCAACATTTGGTGAGGAATAGGGCCAAGGTAAGGAATCTCATGAATAGTATGGTGACAGATTATTTAATCATGATATAGGTTTATTTTATGCCTCATCAGCCGCCCTACTCATTCAGTCAAACCCAACAGGTAGACTGCTTGCTACACTGCATACTAAGCTGTACCTAACCCATCTCCTGGACCAGGATGTAAAGAAGAAGCAGGAAAAATTATTACCTACTGTCATGTAATGTATGAAAAAAAAAATTGGCGATGTCCAACCACAATGAGTTTTTCCTCGAAGAAGATGCAAACAATTGCCTGATTACTTCTTAACGATTCAAGTGTCCTTAATCGTGGCCATCCTGTTTTCATCATTACACTGTTAAGTAAAAATCTTCCACTGGGTCACTGAAAATTTGCCCCTTAAACGAGGAAGTATGGAATTTACCTCCAAGAACGCCAAATGTTACAATAACGACGATTCAATGACACAAAGATTGAAAATAAATACCTTGAATAGGTTGATACAATTGGAGATATAGAAGAGTAGAAAAAAAACAAATCACAAGCAAAATTTCCTAGCTGTTTGCTGAAACGCTGAGGAGTTTCAAGCAAGCGGAGATTACATCACAGTCACGTTTTTTGTGCTTCTCGATGCACGAGACCGGCTTCGGGTCCAGGTCCGAGACGCCAACGTTGAACACGTGCGGCTCGTTGTCGAGATCCCGCAGCAGATGACAACTCGGAATTCTTTCCCTACAAGAAAAAAAAAAAATCTTAGAGACACAGACATTGACATGAATACATAAAAGCATTAAAACAGAGGATGTTTGCATGCATCAAGGGTGCCAGGTAATGCCATTGAAAAAAAGGGATATTTTACATGTGTTTCACCTCCTAAGACCCAGAGATTTCACAATTTTCATAATCCTTCAGTCTTGAGCCAATTTCAACTTTACTTCCCGCATTTTTACTTTCCACACTGTCAAAAATTGCAACAAAATTAATCTCCCTTTTGCAGCGTAAATTAGAACATAAGAGCTTGCATTTAAATTATTCAACGGTGTCAGTGCAGCGCTCTGGCAACTCAAATTAGAGCTTGAAATGGAACATCATTTTGTCACTGGGTCTCTAGCACTAATGAATAGATGGCTAGACTTCTTGTATTGAGGACACAAGAGGTTAGTCGTCGTCATGGGCTCCTATCTTCACAATATATATAAAATTTACTGATGCTGAGGTACACTTTACTCCGGTTCTACTGAATGGGTTTTCAAAACTGTTTTACTGTTTGATTTCTGAGACTTTTCTCTGAATTTAGACGCAAGAATTTTTCGAAGATTCAAAAAATGGAAATTGAGGCACTGGATGCAAAAAAGGCACTTCTTGATTGCAGTGTTTCAGAATCTCTGTTGTTAATTAATCCCTTGGAGAAGAATTTAATGGGTGATTTTGCCAGAATTCTTTCCATAGAAAATTGTAGCTTCATAAGGAATATTCAGTGAAATTTTTAGTGAAATGGATGCATTCACTTCCCTTACAATGAATGAAATATTAGAGGAGACTCCGAAACACTGCAACCTAGAAGTGCCCTTTTTGCAGTGCCTCAATTCCAGCGAAAGATCTAATCGAAAAAAAACTTTTGTCTGTAATTTGAGGGAAAGATTCAGAGAGAAAAAAAGAAAGTTTTAGAAAAACCATCCGGTAGATCCTAAGCAAAGTGTACCTAGAGATCAAAAAAAGTTGTTTTTAGAAAAACCTACTTAGAGGTTTGGATACATATAAAAAAATTGCATTATCTAGATGCTGGATTTCATTACTCCAAGCCTTACAAAACTTTGAATAACGGATGACAAAATAATAAGATCTTAAAGCTCACGGTCCTTGTTTACAGATGAGGATATGTAGAATTCGATCAGGCAATAAATAGAAAACAAAGTTTTACCAAAAATTTGAGATTTTTCAGCACTATCTGGTAACAATGTACGTTGGTATTTTTGAAAAAAGGCATATGAATGGCTAAAGTGCAAAACCACTTATCTCTATTGCAGTGTTTTAAAATATCTGTTCCTACTTTGAGCGTTCACCACGTTAGTAGTGTACACTCTTTCCTGTCGTTTTGCATCAGGTATGTTACTAATGTATCCATTGGTAAAGGCCCGCACTGCTCCATGGGAATCAGCGCCATTTTTCGTGACAGGAAGCAATACCTGTTTTCTCAATTTTTTTTATGTACCGTATCTACCTTTTTTCTCCTATTTTGTCCACTTTATGTAATGCCTGTAGGCTTGTCTTTGAGAAATTAATATTTTTACATTTTAAAACTCTGCAACGTACTTTTATTTAATGACTCTTTCAAGGATCGTTCAAAGAGGTGTGTGAAAAAACGGCCAAAAATGCCTCAAGGCATTTTCGAATTTTGATCACTTGGGGTGATACAGTAGCTTCCGAGACGCCCAAAACCGGTCGCCGTTTTGCTTAGAAGTGCCGGGTTGCGACGTTGCCATTTTTTAAAGTGGAAACCTTTAAAAATTCATATCTCCGCCGCATCTCAACCGATTTCAATGAACTTTTTTTTAAAATGTTCCTCTTAAATAGAGCTTTCTAGTGATGTATAGTTTTTTGGGGTTTACTTGGCTTTAAGTGGCACTTACGCGGTTTTAGCAGTTTTTGATAGACACAAAAATTTAGTTTTTACTTTACCACGATCGTGGAATCGACGGAATCTAAACAAAAACCAGTCTAAATGAAAGTTCAGATTCTCACCTTTCTAACGAGCACAAGATCATCCCGGGGAAACGTTTAGTTTCCGAGATATGACCGCTCAAAGTTGGTCACATGCGCTTTTGCGCAATGTGAATGCGTGTTATCACTAAGTCATTCGCGAACTAGGGGTCCCTTACGTTCAATTTACGTTGAAATAATTACACAGAGCAGTAAGGTGTACAACACGAGCCGTATTTTCACCTTCGGCTGCCGATGTGCGACGTTGCCATTTTTTGAAGTGAAAACTCTTAAAGATGCATAACTCCGCTGCATTTCAACCGATTTCAATGAACTTTTTTTTAAAATGTTCCTCTTAAATAGAGCTATCTAATGGCATTTAGGTTTCTGGATTTTATTTACCTTAGGGAGGCACTTAGGTCGTTTATATGGTTCTTTGCAGAGATTTTTCATACAGAAAATAGTGTTGCTATTTATATTTTTTTTTTTTCTCGGCGGATTGTGGGAGGGTTTAAAATGGCAAAATTTAAAAGAAAGAACTTTTAAAAAAAGGCATTCTTTTAATCACTATTCTTACGTGTACAAATATTGAAAGCGACGCTCTCATTGTACAGGAGAAGGTGGTGTTGCTAATTTACCAAGATTTTTACATTATACTTTAAGCGATGGTGATCTTCCGATCTAGTTTGAATGTTAAAAAAAATCGGGGGAAATACAGACCCCCTCCTGAAAAAAAAAAAAAAAAAAATAGCAACACTATTTTCTGTATGAAAAATCTCTGCAAAGAACCATATAAACGACCTAAGTGCCTCCCTAAGGTAAATAAAATCCAGAAACCTAAATGCCATTAGATAGCTCTATTTAAGAGGAACATTTTAAAAAAAAGTTCATTGAAATCGGTTGAAATGCAGCGGAGTTATGCATCTTTAAAAGTTTTCACTTCAAAAAATGGCAACGTCGCACATCGGCAGCCGAAGGTGAAAATACGGCTCGTGTTGTACACCTTACTGCTCTGTGTAATTATTTCAACGTAAATTGAACGTAAGGGACCCCTAGTTCGCGAATGACTTAGTGATAACACGCATTCACATTGCGCAAAAGCGCATGTGACCAACTTTGAGCGGTCATATCTCGGAAACTAAACGTTTCCCCGGGATGATCTTGTGCTCGTTAGAAAGGTGAGAATCTGAACTTTCATTTAGACTGGTTTTTGTTTAGATTCCGTCGATTCCACGATCGTGGTAAAGTAAAAACTAAATTTTTGTGTCTATCAAAAACTGCTAAAACCGCGTAAGTGCCACTTAAAGCCAAGTAAACCCCAAAAAACTATACATCACTAGAAAGCTCTATTTAAGAGGAACATTTTAAAAAAAAGTTCATTGAAATCGGTTGAGATGCGGCGGAGATATGAATTTTTAAAGGTTTCCACTTTAAAAAATGGCAACGTCGCAACCCGGCGCTTCTAAGCAAAACGGCGACCGGTTTTGGGTGTCTCGAAAGCTACTGTATCACTCCAAGTGATCAAAATTCGAAAATGCCTTGAGGCATTTTTGGCCGTTTTTTCACACACCTCTTTTTAGTCGTCGGAGATCTAAAAAAATTGTTGGGTACAAAGTACCCCTTCACTAATGACCCTTACATTTTACTTTATGAAGACAAGTAATTTCTTATATAGATGTATGTTTCCAAGGTTACCCTCCACATATAGTTCAACAGCGTCTTGCAGCGCTCTCTTCCGTCCCCGTAAAATCACTTTTACATAATGACGAGGTGCTACGGTGAACACGCTCCAACGTCGTAACGTTGGAACCGTCATCTTGTTTTATTTTGTCTAGGAGAAACGAGCCAACTTTATCCCTTGAAATTTGGACAGAATATTCTACTAACGAGGAAGAAATATCAAGAAAGTTTTCAAGAATTAAACTGACTAGTTTATCAAGGAAATTATTAAGTATGACAGGACGTCTGAAACGTCGCAATCGGATCACCATCAATATAGATGACCAAAGTGCGAGACCTGTTGTAAGACTGTTACAAAAAAGCAAATACAAGCGTTACAAAATCTGTTCTTTGTTGTTTCGTTTACTGACAGAATGGAATTTTCATGCCAGGCGTCTTAATTTTTCAGCATAATATTTGAATGAATTTTTGGAGTATTCATAAATAATCGAAGTTTTATTCAAGATTTTAGCTAAATTAGACAAAGAAGCTAGGTGCTTGAAATATTCTTGGAGTATTACACTATTCAGAAGAATCATTCACTCAATTTTGAGCTTTTGAGGACCAAGATCTGTCCACAATTACTATTTTAAGAAATTTAATTCATTCAAAAGTTTTGTTGTTATTTATTGCGTTTTCTTAAAGCACATTTCAGTATGTTTTATCGATTTCTTCAAAGATTTAAGAACATAATTTTCGAGTGGAAAATAGAGTTCAGAAAAGCTTAAGAAGATTCAAGTCCTTTGAAACAACTGAACAAACCATGAGAACGATACTTACTTCGACGGTTCGTGCAATCTTTGGAAAGAGATCAGGATTGAGCAGTCCTTGGCAGTTGTAGCAAGTAGATACCGCTGGACTGGATTAAACGAGAAACTTTTCGAACTGCTCCGAGATTCTGTTGGGGCAGGAATTGATCGAACGTATGCGTAATCGTCTGATTCATTTTCATAACTCCGCCTGGAAAATGAACACATTAGGTTACAGAAATTTAAAATGAAACGAATGTTGATACAAAAATACACTGAGGCATTTTTTAGAAGATTATTTTACGTATAAATTTGTTTTATTTTTAATTAGGAAGCGGACGAGCCCATTACCTGCACTAACAAAAACAGTACAAGCTTTGGCAATTAGCAAACAAAAACGGATATAAAGTTGAAGTAAATGTTCTAATTTTCTTCCTTAATTCTGTTTCAATTTTTCTATTCTGAGCAAATTTAGGGCCTCTCATTTTTTAAAACCAACCTTTCCAAATGATGAAACTGTGGAACAGAAAAAGTTTAATTTTAGGCTATGGAATGATGTGTAATATTAGAAATAATTAAATCTATGGTGTCTCCTAGTGCATGATCATCTAAAATCTTTGCTTTTTCATTACCTTTACATTTCTTTTTCCATGCTTTTCATAACAACCCTCTCCTCAAAAGTTTCCTGGATTCATTGCTTTTTCATTGTCTTTTCCTCACTTTTTCCTTACCTGAAACGCATTTTGAACACTGACAAGGACATATTTGTGCATAATATTAAGAAATTCGGTTTTGGAGGAGGGAATGAAGGCAATATGAAGGAATAATTAAAAATTCTCAAAATCTAACTGAGATTTTGCAGGAATGTTATATCGTATGTCAAGTACATAAAAATTGCATACCTCCAAAACTCTTCCTTCAAGTTAATCTCGAAAGTCCAAAAGTGCCTTGACATAAGAAACCCATGCGTTTTCCGTACTTCTATACTGATCTTTCAAAATTCGTACTTTTTCTGTGTTTCCGTACTTTTCCCTTCCAATAGACACCCTGATTATCCATAACTGAGAAAAAAGACAGGACTTCTTTCTTGAGATTCACACATGATGTCCAGAATTCTCGATCATGCTCATTCCCTGATTTTACCCTGATTTTCAGGAGCTCATTCTCTGATGAGACACTTACATTTTTCCCCACTTCTCCCAGAATTTTCTTAAGAAAAACTATGTATTCCTTCAGCATACTAGATGTAAATATCGAATTCTTTCATCTTTCAGCAGATTCTTTGCCGCGTAGTCAAGTTCTTAATTCCAAGAACGTTCTTGATGTTTATATTATTCCGTCAATAAAAGCTTCTCTATTATAATGATTATTTGAAGATTCAAATACATCGCTCAAGACGTCAATAATGGTGGCTCAGGTGCAAGAACATAGGCAAACCTTAATAACTGGGTACTTGAAATTTCCAAAAAATTTGATACTGAAATGGTCTCTATGCGGTAGAAGAAGAGATTCCCAATTCCTGGATGAAATTCCCTTATTCTCCCTGAAAATTTTCATTAAAAGTTCGGTTACCTGTAAATATCGTAGATAGCATCAGCTCCATACTTCTCCAGCTTTTGTACGTCTAGAATTCGCTTGAGGATACAGTTGGACGGTAAGTCTTTTGCAGACCAATCGCAAGCCTCTTTGGGTAACAGCTCTTTAACTGCCGCTATGAGGTTTGGCGGGATCCTCTCAGGAATGTTCTCTTTCGATTCTGTGGGATCCTCATCTTCAATGACTTTTGGGCAGTTTTCGTTCATTGTTAAATCTCTTGTCAGCGCATCAATGATGAGACAGCTGAATTTCTCCTTCAACCTGATGTGCAGATAATAGAAAACCATGAATTTAACAAAACTTCTTTTTAAAAAAACATTGCGGTTTCGATGTTACAAGGAGCTATGCGTCATTTCTTATCCAAAAAAATTTTGTTCAGGTTTTTCCCCGATCAAATTCTACGTAACTTTAGCTGCAGTTAAAGACCAAGTTTTTAAAAATCTGGTCATTATGGAATGAGCTATGCGACGTTTTGTAACACAATAGGTGATGCAGTCCTTCTGCAGACTTCAAAACTTCAAATGGGTGTTTCTCAAAACGATGTTTTATTATCTTGAGGTATACTTTTCTCATTGAGGAAAAAGAGGGTGGTCGCATGAGGATGTGTTTACCCCAGAACGTTGGTAGGTACAACATGGCGTTGGTATTCCAACAAAATCCGAAATTCTAAGAATGAAAAACAGACCATAACATCCGTTTTTGGCTTAATAGTCCAGTCATTCTAGCCAAAAAAAGGGCCTAACCTCGGACAAATTAGCACAAACTTCTCTTGTGCTTTAAAGCGCTCCAAAACATGTCTGGAGCCCCCAAAAAAAAGTTTACCATTAGCCCCCCTCGGGAACACAGTCAAAATTGCTTATAACAAAATGGCGGCCGACTGAAATTACGTGTAAATTGATTGTTGACTTCGTCAGCGTTTCCCCAATTTTGCGTGATTCTAGTGCATCCAGTGAAAAAAATCATTCTTGTCATTTTTTTAGAGTATAAAATTCTGCTTACAATTATGTATAAGTTTTTTTAATTTTGACTTGTTGGTGCCGAGCTACGAGGTCAGACACCGAAAAAAAAGGCTAGAATTTTCTTGAAATTTCAAGTTTGGTTTGTAACTTTTAAGATACAGTTTTGGCAGAATTTTTTCTCTCAAAACTGTTGGCACCAATGGAAAGAGCGTGAAATTTTCTTTTCAAAACACATATTACATCAAAATTTTACTGAAGGTATAAGACCTTTATAGGGCCTTTATGGAATGGGCCTGTTGCAAACTTTTGCTAGAGCAAAAATAAGAGTTGTTTCTTGTAGATAATGCCTCAAAAATCACGATGAGCGCATCGGCAAAGTCTGAAATGCACTCATAACTTCACAATCTGCGTAAGAAATTTGCGTTTTTTTAAGCTTCCCGCTTCAAAAACGATACTACGGCATAGGTGAACATTTTGTTAGAGGAGTCGCTCCATCGTCGGCGATATTCATCATGGCCGACGCTTGCACGCAGTTCCGCGCGTAATTCAAGGAGAGTTCAAGGTCAATCAATTCGGGCGTGGAAAATATGAACGTTAACACACCGATTCTTATCTGGTCTAATCCAGTTCAGGTGTTATCTCGTCCCATCAAACGTGTTTTGGCGGATTGGCGTCGGCTATGATGATTATTGCCGACGATGGAGCGACTCCTCTAACAAAATGTTCATCTATGCCGTAGTATCGTTTTTGAAGCGGGAAGCTCAAAAAACCGCAAATTTCTTACGCAGATTGTGAAGTTATGAGTGCATTTCAGAGTTTGCCGATGCGCTCATCGTGATTTTTGAGGCATTATCTATAAGAAACAACTCTTAGTTTTGCTCTAGCAAAAGTTTGCAACAGGCCCATTGTGTCAAATTCGACATTTTTTACTTTTTGTAAATTTTGGCTTGAATTTCGATTAATGTGAGCCTTTTTCACGTATATTCGACTATTTTTTAAATAAATTGTGTTATTAATTTAATAGTCATGGTACATAGTAAAGGGAGAAGCACCTTAGAGCAAGGATGGTCGACCGGGGAGGGGGGGGGGCATATCTTATCCGTTCACTGTTTGGACTATCGCAGCTAAAGATTCTAAGAAAAAAACGGCAAAACACCTATTTGTCGGCAGATTTTCATGAAATTTGGTGTACCCCGGTATGTGGATCTAGGAAATTCGAATTTGACAAATTCAAGATGGCGGAAAAAAGATGGCGGCAATAATTTGTTAGATACCTGTTTATCGACTGATTTGCATGAAACTTAGTATAACCCTGTATTTAGCCCTAGAGAATTTGAATTTGATGTCGAATTTAACCAGAATTAAAATCAAAGATGGTGGGAAGAAGGTGGTGGCTATAATTTTTTAAAATTAAAGATGGCGGGTACAATTTGAAAACTACCCATTTATCGGCAGATTTTCATGAAACTCGGTGTATCCTGGTATTTTGATCTGGTAAATTCGAATTTGACGTTACTTTCAGTCTGAATCAAATTCAAGATGGTGGAAAAAAGATGGCGGCCTTAATTTTTAAAATATCTGTTTATCGGCTAATTTTCATGACATTGAATATTACCTAGTATTTTGACCAAAGTTTGTCAGTTTCGGTTTAAAAATTTATAATATAAGGTAATAAGACAGGGTAAAAAAGTAATTGAGGGGCTCGGAGGACAAGGCGCCCAAGTGCAGGTTTCGAAAAATATGACACATTTTAGTGGTTCCAACTAATTCTAGGTTTGAAATAAAGTTGTGAAAAATTCACCGGAAGCATCCAATGCTTAAGCATCAAGATGTGAGTTTGAACTCTCTTCCTGCCATAAGGCTGTGTATAATAGTTAGCAACTTTAAACATGTTTTTCTCGAAATAGCACTTATGCGCCTCGTCCTCCAAGCTGTTTAATTGAGAGTATAAGTGTTAAAATGCAATTGTTTTGGTATCGTCGAATATTTAACTGACAAAGATTAAGAAATACAAAGCCGAGTAATGAAATAAAAGCTCTGCTAATTTTTTACTTGGTCTATTGAAAGCTAAATAATATTAAATAATGTGCGAAATGTCGCATATTCGGCTGACAAGATGCCAAGGGCAGTAAAATTTTAATGTTTTTATTATTTTCCTTCTTATTTACTTACAATTAGATACCCTCATTTCACACGAGCCTGCGGTACGTCACGTAAAGCATAGGTGCATACCCCTCTTTCCTGTTGACAACCCCGCCCCCCACTGACATCTGTACTTTCGTTATAATCCTTGTTCGCGCTTACGCTACAGTTGGCCGCCCAAAAGTTCCAAACCTTCAATGGTGTATTGATTTTATCATAATAATTATTAGTTCTACTATTAATTCCTCCGACGCAAAAACACCCGCTCCCCGAGCTGCCGCCATTACACAGCCCAATCCCTCACGTAAAGCGCTTCGTGGCGCGGCGGCTGTGCTCGCATCGTAATAACTTCCCTCATATGTGAGATGTCCCATTCCGCAATGTTTTTAAAAATCCTTGAATGTGCCGATTTCGCCAAGCTCTGTCCTATTCGTATATTTTTATGTGAGAGTATGCATAAATACGATGAAAATTGTCTTCACTTTGTATGCGTGAAGTATCCGTTAGTTCCGTACTGGCGGTCATATATCCATTAGCGCTCTTTGTAGAAAGCAGGGAGGAAGAGGTGGGTCAGTTTCCCCTCCTATTATTTATTTTATAATACGTTAATTCATTTTTGCTCTCCAGAAATGATTTAAATAACTTCTCACGATTGATGGAATATTTGCTGTATTGATATGACCTTTTCAGGGATGGTGTTTTGCATAGAAACTCAATTTTCTGTAAATATTGCCATTTTTTACAATTTTAAATAAAGCAGTGTCAAACCCAAAAATGATGGAAATTTTTGGAACAAGGTACCCTCTCTTATTGTAAATTTTATGTACTTTTACGTGATCACAGTGGTTTTTTGATCAAACACTTTTAAAAGGCTTAAAAATTAGGAAAATCGAGCTAAAAGCGGTCTTTTTTCAGAAAAATGTCATTTTTGATCCCAGAAGAAATTATCCTACCGGCAAATATAATTACTTAAAAGGATGTTAAACACACTATTCTAAACCAAAATTTAACGTACTTTTCAGTTACATCATTTATTTTAACTTTAAAGCTCACTTTAAAGCGGTAAAATATCAAAAATAACTAAAAAATTACATTTCATCATTTTTTTAAAAACTTTTTTTAAACCGAAATTCAGTGATAAGACCCCTCAAAAAGGTTTTACGGCAACTTTCAATTGTCCCATGTTATAGGAAATTTCATGAACTTTTCATCTCGCACCTTGTTTTCTTTCTTAAATTCCTTTTAACACGTGAAAAATAAGAAAAACAGCAGGAAAATTTTTTTCGGGTAAATTGCAATTTTTTTCAACATTGCCTCTGCATTTTCACGAGAGACGCCAAAAATACAAATAAAGGTACATTTCTTACATAAAATTTTACCAGCTTTTCGCTGATTACCATGGTTTGATGAATAAAATTGTTTGCAGCCATGAAAAACCACAAAAACCTGAGACAAAGCCTTGTTATTGAATAATTTGTAAATTTTTACCATCTCAAAAATTGGCTTCTAAGTACACTTAAATACCTTCAAAAATTTATTCATTGACATTTTTTTCTCTTTCATATGCCATTACATTGGTACCATAAAGTTTACTTCAAACAAAAATTACTAAACTTGAAAATTTTGGGTATATATTAAGAAAAATGTTCGTAACCAAGCAGCTGGGTTTTCCAATAGACAACTTTAACGTCATATCTAACCCTCTTTAAAAAATTCGAAACAGTAATTTTAGGTATGCAATTTTTGGGAAATTTTATGCACTAACCGATTATTACCATCGTTGAATCGTATTCTCAGTTTTTAGCTGTGAAGAAGTTGAAAATTGTTGAAATTCTGAAATTTCTAGAGAAATCAGTTTTCAGCATAATTCCCTTAAATACGCTTTTCAGGTACATGTTGTAAAATTTAAAGGAAAAACAGTGTGTTATTCGTCTTGAAAATTTTATCACCTTTCTAAAAAGTATATATAAGTTATACTTTTGTCGAAAAATAATTCATCGAAAGCGCTGGAAACGGAAAAAAAAACAACTGAATTTGTTGTTAAATATTGACTTCATACTTTTGAATGATTCGTCTCACAATGAGGTCATATAAGATGAAAAGGTAAAATGAATGGGTATACTTATGTAAAATTTAGCGTACTTTTCAGTGGTGCCGTTGTTTTTAACCTTAAATTAATTATTTTGACCTAAAATTGGTCAAGAACGCGAAAAATCGTGAATTTTCAGCAGATTTTGCCGGTTGTTGTTTTTAAATATTAAAATTCGGAAAGAAAAAAATAAGAAAAGCCTAAGTTTTGTATATGATTCTTAATCAAAATTTTATGATCTTTCAAACTGATGTGTTGCAATTTTTTGTTTGACGCATTATTTTTGAGTTATAAAGGGAAATCCGTATGTACGTCCTCTTTGAAAATCGCCGTAAGCCGCCATTTTGAAAAACTGCGATTTGACCACTTTCCCGGTGGAATTTTTTGGTAAACTTGTTTTTCTGTCTTATTGGGTACCTAGAGACCCTATATACCAAAGGAAAAGTTTGTGCTAATTTGTCCGAGGTAAAAAGCTAGAATGACTGGACTATAATTCAATTCAAAATATAATTTCAAACACTTCAGATAAAATTACTTTTTTCCAGAATCTGCACCATTTTTAAAAAAATCGATGACAAAAAGCGTCTGTACCTACTTACGTCATCAAAGAAATCCAAGATGTCTGAAATGTGACCACCTCTTTTTTTTTCTCTATCCAATTTCTTTAGGAACAAATGGATGATTTGCCAGAGTTGCCGCAGAATTTGGAAAATTAAATTCCCTGACACATTTTGATGGAATTCCCTGACAATTAAACAAATGCCAGATTTTCAAAAAGACGGAGTTGGAAGTAGTTTCAGGCAAAATTTGTTGTTCAAAGCATCAAACCCCCTCGAGAAAGCAAATGAAGATGATTTGATGATTTTCCCCTGACATTTTCACCATTTTCCTTCACAATTCCGGATTTTCCCTGACATTTCCTGGTTTTCCTTGTATTTTCTGACAGTGGCAACCCTGGATTTACTAAAAAGAAGAGAAAAGAAAAAAAAAAGGAATCCTATTGGTGAAAGCAGGTGGTTACAATGAACAAAGGAGGTAAGTAATAGACTAAATAACGCAACCCAAGAGCAACCCTATCGTTATTCCATCTTTTTCCCTCTCAGTCTTTAAGAACCATCGATTTCAACCAATAAGATCTTTTTATTTTCTATTATCTTCTTTGACTATTACTTTGTCTATCAATTGCAATAATCAGCCTACATACCTGTTGGGCTTTCTTTCTGACCTATGGCAGTTTGAATAATTCACGACAGATAAATTAACTTTTAGAAATGAGGAACTACTTTTTAAATATCATTCATGAAATCACCTGTTTGCATAGGGACATAATGGTATATATGATGCTTCTTTAATGAGCCAGAAAATGCAGTTCCTTATTGCAAAATATATTACCTGTGAGAATCAACATCCTGCTCAATGAAGTCCACTGGTGAGTCGAGCCAAGATTTCAAAATCTCAATGATGTCCGTTTTGGTTTCGTCTCCGTAGATAAGCTGCCCATCCTGAAAAAAAATAAAAATTGATTTGTGAGGAGTTGCTTGAGATGCTTCAGCACACTACCTTTCTAAGGTAGAACACTGTATCAATCTTTGGAGGCTGCCAAATTTCCTTGGATAGAAAACGCTTTTCAGGGAAACATGCGAATAGGTCTCATTCAATTTTCCAGAGATTTTTGCTCGCAATTCAATCTGAAACATATTAATATTTCAAGGGAAAATGTTCGTAACTTCTCTCAGAAATAATTAGTATATCAACGGAAATCTGGCAATGTATGAATGCTCGCACGGCATAGTTTCTTTTTTTTTTCTTTTTTTACGGCGTTTTTCCTTGGCATGATGGATCAAGGATGCTTAAAAAACCAAGTTTCCCTACTTATCAAACAAAATTTCCCTTTCCGCACCCTTCTTTTTACAAGGCTTCTGTAATTTCTTCATTTTCTGATGAGTGGGTTGTTCTGGTCACAGAATCGTAATTTGATAGTAGGTAGATACTTGTAGACCAGCTAAAAATAATAAGATTTGTTCAAATATCAACTCTCTACAATTAATATTTACAGAGATATCTTGCTTTGGAGAATTCGGTTTATGACTTCATCTACCGCCGAAGTGACAACCTTGGTTTCTTCCATCTTGCTTTCATCCAAGCTTCATGTTGAGGAACCAGTGCATTACTGACTGATGAGAGCACGATGGAAGAAACCAAGGATGTCTCTACTGCAGTGATGACGTCATAAACCGAATTTTTCAAAGTGCGCTATCTTGGTCAAAATTGAACGAAGAAAGTTACTGTTTGGACGGATCTTATTATTTTCGGCTAACTTTTAAGAATCAAGCATCAAAACACGATTCTGTGACCAGCACAACTGACCCATTCCCCAACTCTGAAAGTTCCGAATTCTCTGACTTTTGATCGAACCTCATCTTGGAATTTGTTTCATTAAATCAAGCAGGCTTGGTTAAACTATGGACAAGATCTCTGCTTCTAGAGATTCAAAAGATTTATCGTAAAGATTTGTTTATGAAAAATGGGATAGTGACTGTTTATTCTCTCCAAATTTGTAAAACATTGAAGATTGCAGTGAAGCGAGAGGAAGTAAACCAGGAAAACAAAAATCCTTCCCAGGGATATGAAACTTGACCCTGTTTGTCGTTTTTTTCCTGAAAGAACGTAATTACACTTCAGAGTTGCCTAAGTTCCCCTAGCAAATTGCACTTTTACTAAAAGGATCTTGGGCATTTATGACTGAAATTTTCACAGATTTTGTTTCTGATCTTATGTGACAATCAGAAAAATTTTGGACAGTAATTTCAAAGGTACATTTTTGTAAAAAAAATTATTGTTTAAATCAATTTTGCAACCTTCGGATGGAGTTTTGTTCCTTCATCTGGGAAACAACATATTTAGCAGACAGGGACAGTCTGAAGGAGACTCAAAAAAACCCGCTAACATTTCATTGGGCAAAGTGTCTTGTTAAAAAAACTACGACAAGGGTTTAACTTAATCATTAATGATGGAAACCCCGCACCGCAATTTTTGATGAAATTAAAAAACATACCTCAAAGAAAGCCTAACTGCTGGATTGATTAATTTTCAGAAGATCAAAAATAATCAGTTTTAGTTTGAATATTTTGTACCCAATTTGCAATTATATTATTTTTTTACACAGATTAAGTTGTTGATAAATAAACCGGACATTTATCATTGGCCTGCAAAAGCAGTGCTTGTATAAACCAGAAGTTTATCGTTAGACTGCAAAAGCAGTGCTTGTAATTAACTAAAGAGTTATAAATAATAAAGAAAATGTAAAAATACAAATTATGCAAAGAGGAGCTCAGGAGTTATTTACGCTCTCTCAAATGGCACTGACTGGAGATGCCAACTTCTAATTCGTCCATAAAAGCACCTCCAGTTGTTTCTGGTATATTGCAACTTAGTATATACTACACTAGAACTAGAACTATACCGGAACTCTAGTAAATACTATATCTTAGTATAATAAATGGTATTTCCTTCATGCGAAATGTGGTCTAAATATTGACGAAAAAGGACTGACGTGATGTCATCTTTCAGTCATACTGACTACAGGACCCTGAAATATTAGATGAGTGTATTGGTAGTGTGACCAGGGCTAAAAGTATTGATGAAAGAAAACACTTTGTATTGGACTACTTGAATATAAATGGTATCTCCACCTCAAAGGGTGCTAAGTATTTCAGATGAGACTTACTTTGAAGATTTTTAAATTATTTTGCGGGGTTATGAGTAGAGCTTTCACAGCCGATTTCATCCTGGATCGATTCCTGAAAAAAAGAGTTTGAATTTGATTATTGAATGAATTTATACCCCTTTCTTCCTGATTTATTTTATCTATAAGGAAAAAAAAGAAGAAAAAAATACAAAAACAAAACAAAAATAGAAGACAGGTACCTGCTACAGCAAAGCCTCTTGGCAGGTGGTGGAGTCTTGAAATTAATTGCTATTATTTAACACTAGGGATAATTTAATTGAAAAAATTATAAAATTAAAAAAGGACTTAATAGAAAAGAGTCAGGGGATGGAGAGATATGGAGGCGGAAGGGAATCAGAAGGAACTTATATAGTATTTTAATACGAAAAGTTATGCTTCCCTTTCTCGTATGCTGCTGTGCTACGGAAAAACGCTGGATCTAGGAGGAGGGTTGTGGGATGAACAGAATTAAAAATAACGCAATGTTGCCTATTGAGGTATCTTGAAGGAAAGGGCACTGAGTCCCAAGGACCTAATATCTCAGAGGAAACGGCAAAGAATTGTCTCATTGATGTAAGCACATTTTTCTTTCATAAAATGCAGATATGGATAACGCTTTAACTGAGTAAAAAAATAATAAGGTCGTGATGAATTTTTTAATCACATCAAAAGTTTTTTTCAGAGACCGTCTGCAAAAATCATTCACAATATTTTTTCAAGAATAGTTTCGAGGCGTTATTTTGAAAAGAAGAACAGCATTTTGAGAATATTTATAAAGTTTGACTCTTATTTGAAGGGGGATGGATTCGAATTTGATACACTGTATAACTTACCCGGAAAACAAATCCAACGGACAGTAGTTGCTATGCATTTTGACGGATCCATTGAAAACCTGAAATAGTCAAACAGAACCATTAAACTACTAAGTGGCGAGTGTGTGATCGAGGGTAAGCTACCACTTCTGAGAACCATTAAACTTATTCCATTTATCATGACTGATTTCTTATAGCTCATGTTCATTTCAAATAATGCAGCTGACAGTGAAAAAATCCAACGAATAGCCTCTTTTTGCTGATATCTTATCATCGGTGATATTGTTATCAAAGACCTTTGACATTTGATTTGAGTCAAGTAAACGGTTATATCTTAATTGGATTGTTTCAAAATCTCATCTCTAATTTTGATTTTTTGAAAGGAAACTGACCAATATCTTCACTCGAAAATTGTTTCCGATTTTTTTGCCCACACAAAGGAGATTCCCAAAAACTTTTTAAGAGTAAATGTTGCTTGGTTTGCTTCAAAAAAATCAAAACAGGAGATGAAATTTTGGAACACCACAATTCAGATTTGACTGTTTTGCTTGCTTCCATCCATTTGATTTAACATGGTAGTTAAATCTAATGATTAATAAGGAAAATCTGAAAAAAGTTCATAAGTTCACCATGGATTAGCATTTTTTGGAAATACTAACCCGAAAAAATCGGGTCTCCCTGCATTGAACATTGCCAAACTTCCTCTATAATTTAATTTTTTTTAACAAAAGAAAAAAATCTAGTGTTTTATTTTTTATCTTATTTTTTCATAAATAACCAAGCGACTTAAAGCTTCAAGCTCAAATAAATAGACTACTAATGGACACACACAGCAAAAATTTGATCAGCCCACTGCGAGATATGTTTCCTATAGAAGTTTTGAACTTACTTAGCGTACTCACAGCAAGATTGCTAACTGCTGAATTAATTTGTGAAACTAGTTTTATGAATATCAAGTTTAAGTGATAGCGTTGAGAGAAGACTACGCTCACAATCCAGCGCCGGCGAAATTTCGAGATTTTTGTATTTGATGCCCCCACCGATCTCCTGAGTAGGGTGAGTTTTTAAGGTGATTCAATGGTTGCCATTTTTGGTGTCAGAACGACGTGCAATATTTCGCATCAATTCATTCCATTATTTCAGCTACTTGTCATTTTTTCGAATTTTGAGATCGCACTTCTGTTGCCATGAGACTAAAGAATTCATGTTCCAAATTTGACAAAGAAATTCAAAGTAATAATAAAAGCAGGGTTTTTTCGGAGGAAAAATATACCATTCCATACTGATATCGAAACTGCACTCAAATGCGATATTTTTCCTCTAAAAAAATCATGCCTTAATTACGTTTAATTTGTCTGTCAAAATTGGTGAGTGAATTCTTCAGTCTCCTGACGACAGAACTGCGATCTCAAAATTTGAGACTAATGACGGGTAGCTGAAAAAATGGAACTGATCGATGCAATATATCGCATGCCGTTCTGACACAAAATATAGCATCCATCAAATCACCTTAACAGCAAACTTGCTATGTGCCTATCTCGATAAAATTAGGTCTAAAAAATGCATTTTTCAAGAGTTTAACACGTGTCATCAGACAAGGAAGTGGCATTGTCCTTGAGTCGAAGACGTTGAGCCTTTGGTTTCAAACTGACTTAATCGCTGTCTTATCTTTTGGGCTGAGACCGTACAAAGAAAAGGAACTAATTACTTGATCACCTACATTTTCTCACTTGCTAAAGCTTGTAAAACTGCCAAAAAACCAGACATACACCAAATTTTCTCGAAATTGGAACAAAGGAGATTCGATTTTAAAAGCTCATCTTACTCAGGCGATTGCAAGGAACATCAAGCAACAGTGAACTTACTTTGAGGTATTGATTAAGGCAGAAGGCACATTTGGTGAATCTTCGATCGATCATTGGAATCCATCCTTGCTTTGGTTTCACCTCAACGCAGTACGTCGAAAAGTCCATGCTCCTTTTGGACGAGAACTGTGAGCAGTAAATCCTCCGCGAACCTTGCTTCACAAACGTTGAGAGGGGTGAGGGATAATCCAGAGATGACGAGTAATCCTGAAACAATTCAGATTTATTGACCAATGTCTAAAAATAGATTTAAAACTAAAAACAGCGGATGTCAGAATTCGCTGAAGCTCATTGATCTCCTAAAGAATTGTTTATATTGAGCATATAACAATAAAGTTATGGTAATAAAAGTGAATGAGACCTGTTACATGTAGGTTTTCAGGATATGGTATTGTCCCTTACTTTAGAGGACTGATAATATTATTTGTTTCTTTTTTTATAAGTTACAAAATATTTATTTTTTTCGAAAAAGTAATAAAAAATTCAACAGTAATCATAATGTGATTCATATCAATCGCTCTACCTCAATTACATTAGCTATGTAGTTAATTTTATGCCTAAAAGTAAGTTCTCCGGGATAACAACAGATGTGTTGTTTCTTTAAAATCACTATACCTCAATTGACAATAGTTTCAAATGTAAACTTCTAAGCTAATTTTTTAGAGGAGGATTTGATCTAAAATTAAATTCTTGACCGAGCCCTTTCGGCTTTGCAAACATGGAAATGCTCAGCTTCTAGAACTTTTAACATGATTATCTCCAAACTTAAAAACTCAGAATCCGCTTTTTACCAATGGGTACATCCAGCCGTCAATTACATATTTTACAACTTACTTAATTACAACTTTAAGCTCAATCACTTTTTACAAGAAGGACAATTGTTTCGGAATTGCACATTCCATCTCCACCTTTATCAAAACAATTGTTTTTAAATTTGTAAAAAACGAAAGAGTTTAGAGCTTATGTAATTGACAACTGGATGCACCCATTGTCTTGAAAGCTCACCGTTTAGAAAGAACTTTAATCATCCATAATCCGCTTTTCATATGTATATGAGGACTTATATGTAACAATAGCAGTCCCTGACATCCACCATTTTTAGGAAAAACGCTTTTTTCGAATTCTGGCGCCCTCAAGAATGCATGTGCAAAGTTTAAGACTTCCAGTGCAATTTGTCAGTGAGATGAAAACCATGTTTTTTGTAAAAACAGCGGATATGAGAATCCACTGTTCTCCCTGGCCGGTGCGGCAGGACACCTTGAAGATTCGAACACACTTGCGATAACTGCCCACGCACTGGCCATTGACTGCAGCTGACGCTCAAATTATACGTGTCGGGGCCGTCTCGCCAGAATTGTTGATTTTTTAACTGATTTTATAATTTGTTCCTTATTTTTGTTGTGGAAGTTACAAACGGTTTAGTTTTTTGTTTTTATTAAATGACTCAGTATTGACTTGTACTTTTGGTTCATTTCAATCGTTTCACCAGCCTTACCCTTTCTGAAGACTTAGTTTCATGCATAATAAAATGTTCTCAATAAAAATAGCGGATGTCACATTTTTTTCAAATCCCAGTTACTTCTCCAATTTTTCACTTACATAAATCGTAAAACATGTGTTTTTTACGGGAAGAGTTGCTCTTCATTAAAATCTTTATAAGAATCCTCTCAGTTCTGCAGGCGGCAAAAGGCAAAGCTTCAAAAACTTCAAACATGATTTTCTCACAATAAGAAAACTCGACATCCGCTATTATTACATACAAGTCCTCATATGGCTTCATGGGCCATTCTTTCTAATCCTTCAACAACCATAACGGTAAGGAATGTTCATACCTGCTTCATGGTGTTGTGAATAATACTGCTAGCGTTACTGCCACCGCCGCGACTATTGATACTGATAGATCTACTACTAATTTGACTAGAATCGTTCGTGTTTTCCACGAAATCTAAGTTATCACAATTTGGACTATCGAAGTGGAGGGTGTAGAGGGAGGAGATTTTGAGGAGGGTTTTGACGGCCTCTTTGTTCTCGTCGAAAACGGGGTCATGGAAAGATGTGCTGCGGGAGTATTCCGACCGGGGCTTGGCCATGTTGTCGTGGAGATTCTCGGATATGAGTTTAGGGTACGTCACAGCCTGGTTCCGTTCCGAGAGGAAAATCGGCAGAAAGGCGTAGTCTGGATAAATTGTCACATGACTGAATTTGATTCCTTTGTGGTGTCTTGATGCTGTCAACAGAGATTTACAATTTAATTAAATTATTTCTTGCGAAACTTCTATGTTGGATCACTAGACATAATTAGAAATTGAGCATTACTTACACTACTTTTTTTCTCGTTAAAACACATTTAACACATGAAAATCTGGCAAAATTAATTCATATACTAGAAATAAAAGTATGAATTGTATTCATTTGTGGTGCCTTGATGCTATCAACAGGAATTTAGAATTTTGTTAAGTTAATTCTTGAGAAATGTCCACAAAATTTCCATATTGGACTACTAGACCGTGCTGTCTAGAATTCTCAACCATGCTAATTCCCCGAGTTCTCACCGATTTTTTCTAATTTTCCTTGATTTTGAAGAGCTCATTCCCTATAGAGAAACAAAAGTTTTCTCCCACGTCCCCGAGATATCCTTGGAGAAATCTACATAGTTCTCCGAAGTTCCAGATATGAAAATCGAATATTTTCATCTTTCAGTCAATTTTTGGATACACATTCGAACTTACATTCCAAAAGTGCTCCTGAATTTAATATTTATCTGGTCAATGAAAGCTTCTCTACAATTATGATTTTCAATTATCCGCAGTACTTTCAGTCCCAATTACGGCGCACAGTGGAATGAGTCAATGAGAGAGATCGGATATGAAATTTTTGACTAAAATTGCAAATTTTTATGTTCATTTCGTCACATTTTAAATTTTAAGGGGTGCTCCAAGAAAATTTCACGAGGAAACCAGTAGACCCACTTTCAGAACCTAAAACTTTTGTATGAACGGAGCTTTAAGCTTTTAAAGTTTCCAAATTTTGTCCGACCTCTCCTATTGACTCCATCCACTAGTCGAAATTCTACTGTACATATGTTACGCCTGCGATGGGATGATTACTGGTCCTGCTCAAACTGGCTTGGTTTTGGATTATCCATGATGGCTCCGCTTCAAATTACCGCGGTTAATCAAAACTCTACTGCAGTGGCGGATCCAGGGGGCATAATGCCATGCCCCCTCCCCCCTCGGACCGAAAAATGCTAGCCCGGCAGGTGCAGGGTTGAGATGTCCCTTGGAATTTCACATAATTTTTCACTTGAAATTTCACATGAAATTTCAATGAAATTAATGAGATTGAATAAAATTAATGAAATTTCAATAAAATTAACGACATTTCAATAAAATTAATGAAATTTCAAGAGGCCTCATATCTTTCAAAAAATTTGAGAGGATAAAACATTGAAAAAACATGATTTTCCAACCTATTTAGGGACGTAAAAAACGTGATTTTCCAACCTATTTCGGCACATTTAAGAGAAGCTTAAACTCTGTACATAGTACTACATAGGCCAATTCTACAGGAGTGAGGGAATAAGTCCCCTTTGGGTTGGCTGCATTGCAGAGATACTGAGCGGGCAGGTGCGGGGATACTGACCAGGGCGTTGGGATACGAGAGCCTCTTCCAATTCCTTGATCTCGCTTTTATCCATGTACGCAGGGACGGGCGGTTGGATGTAAGCCCGCCCCAGGAGCGGAATCATCATCTTGCAGCAGAAAACCACTTCTCGCCACATTTTCTTCAGCTCGGCCAGCTCCTCTTCCGCCGTCACAGGCGCTCCCTTCTCACGTTTCCGCATTCTGATGATCAGCCGATCCTGATGAACAGAAAACACGAATTGGACGTAGAGTCCCTTTATGCTGAGAGGTAAGACGATGCGAATCCATTTCTGACTGGTTCCCATTTTTTTTAGATTTCTCAGTGTCACAAACGGGAATAAAGATTACATTTTCACCAATTGCAAAGATTATAAACTGGAATGGACCAGGGAATAGGCAGGGTGTCTACTAAAACAGGCTAGCCAAAAATCAGTACTTTCACAGTACTTTTTCAGTACATTCCCAAGAAATTTAGTACCTCTTCAACAGAAAAATTCAGGACTTTTTCGATACCTCAACTGACGAAATTCGAAAAATTTCACAAATTTGAATTCCCCGCTCAAATTGCGACAAAAATGGAAAGAATTACGGACTTCCTTGCAAAATTCCCGCATTTTTTCAGTACTTCCGGATCGCTCTTAAAAAATTAGTACGATTTCCGGAAATTCGAGACTTGTAGACACCCTGATACGGGGTGCGGCAAGGAACAAATGGACGTGTTTCTGCCAAACAGAACTATGTGCATTAAGACATTAGCCCTGAGACCCATAAGAATATATGCATAACAGGGCTCACATCATAATGCACATAGTTCTGTTTGGCAGAAATACGTCCAAATGGAACCAGAGAGGGAACTGAGCAGAGACAAAAGACCCTCCACTGGCCTTTTAGCGACAGGTGGAAGCATTTTCCTTTGGGGATTCATAATTTCTTGGCTGAGCAACTATGTCGCAAGTGTGATGTCAACATATTGCCTATTCTCTCAGTTGAAGGCAAATCATAAATCCAGAATTTATCAATTGAACCAGGTCCTGCACAAGACAAGAGCTGTTATAGTTCTTCTCACGACTGAGCAACTATTTTAACTCCAGTGTGAACATATTGTTCATCCTCTCAATTGAAGGAAAGTCATTAATGCAGGCATTATGAATTGAACCAAGTGCTGCACAGGAGCTGTAATAGTTCATTTCACGACTGAGAAATTATGTGAACACTGGTGTAGACATATTGTCTATCCCCTAAATTGAAGGCAAATCGAGAATTCATGAATCATCATCGTTCGATAATCGAATCGTTCTTCAGTTCTTCCCTGTTTTCCAGACCGCCACACAGAGGATCAAGTCAATGTCAGAGGTCGGACATGATTTAAAAACTTTAAAAGCGAATATCTTCGTGAATATGAAGTATTGACGTTTTCAGAGTAGTTTCATCGGTTTCCTCGTAAAATTTTCTTATAAAATCACCCCTTCAATGGGTCAGTTGCGCTGGTCCCAGAATCGTGTTTTGATGCTTGGTCCTTGTAGATTAACTAAAAATAATAATGAAAAAAAAAAAAAACCACTAAGAAGTGGCCCAAACTGTATGTAACAAGATGGAGAAATGGTGCTAGGTCAACACCATTTCGCAGGGAAAAAAAAGCCAAGAAGTTCCAAAAATTAAAATTACAGCCAAAATTAAAATTTGTAGTACTCTAATGCGTACCGGTACGAAACTGAGGGGGGAGAGTGTTCAGCTCAGGCAGTTTGCATTGGAATATTAAGTTGGAGTCACTGCCGAGTGTGAGGCCCAAACCGGTATAGATCTCTCGGCAGTGTCTCCAACTTAATATTCCAATGCAAACTGCCTGAGCTGAACACTTTCCCCCCTCAGTTTCGTACTAGTACGCATTAGAGTTCAAAAAGTTTAATTTTGGCTCTAATTTTAAGTTTTGGAACTTCTTGGCTTTGTTTTCCCCGCAAAATGGTGTGAACCCAGCACCATTTCTCCATCTTGTTAAAAATAATAAGATATGTCCAAATAGCAACTCTCACCGTTTAATATTAACAGAGATATCGCCGTTTGAAAAGTGGGGTTTTTGACGTCATCCATCGCGGTGGTGACACCCTTGGTTTCTTTCACCTTGCTTTCATCCGAGTTTCACGGTGAATAACCAGTGCAGATAAGTGTTTTCCTGATTGATGAAAGCAAGGTGGAAGAGGCCAAGGGTGTCACTACCGCGGTGCATGACGTCAAAACCCCGACTTTTCAAAGGCCGGTATGTCGGTAAATATTGAACGTAAAAAGTCGCCATTTGAATCGATCTCATTATTTTTAGCCAATCTATAAGAGTCAAGCATGAAAAAACGATTCTGCGACCAGCGCAACCGACCCATTAGAATGGACCACTAGACAAGGTACGAATTTAAGTGATCAGATACATGTTTCTAGACCAGAATTTTACGTAGAACACGATTCACACAACAAAAATTACTGAAAACAACTCTTAACGAAGATATTAACGTTTTTATTTCACACTGGTTACGAGGAATTTGAACTGCCCGCTCACAAGAAACTCAAAGCTCTACGTGAGTCAAATCGCGCACTACCACGGTTTCAGCAAGCTTCTCAACCGAGCAATTTTCATTTCCCACCATGTGTTGTTAAAACTATCAGCAATTTGCAATAGCTAAAGCCAAAGCGTTAAGATTGAGGTTGCCAGATTTTTATATCGCAGAGACTGTCATGATAACGTTTAGCGCGCGATGTGAATCACGTAGAGCATTGAGTTTTCATGAGCGGGTGGTTTGAATTCACGCATCAAGAATCATTAAATATCTTCGGAAGGAATCAATTTCGGTAACTTTTGTTGTGCGCATCGTGTTCTACGTGAAATTTTAGTTACGAAACATGTATCAGATAGCTGGAATTCGTACCTTGTCTAGTGGTCCATTGTGACGAGATAAGGAAAAATTTTACAATTTTTGTCAAATATGTAATGTCTGATTCCAAAGACTCGTCCCACTATGCGCCGCGTCGCGGCATGCAACCCTACCCGGAGAAAAAAACCTCGTACGTGGGACCCGAAGTTTGGGTCATACGAATCTCTGAAGTTTTCAGATTGAGCATCTGAACACTTAAAGTCTAGCTGTCGAGGTTCGGATCACACATCTGAGACTTCAGTTCTAACATCTGAAGTACTTCGGTTTTCACATCCGAAAAACTTCGGTTCTCACATCTGAAGTACTTCAGATGTAAGAACTGAAGTACTTCAGATGTAAGAACTGAAGTACTACAGATGTAAGAACTGAAGTTTCAGATGTCTGACCTGAACTTCGGCAGCTAGACCTTAAGTGTTCAGATGCTCAATCCGAAAACTTCAGAGATCCATATGACCTAAACTTCGGGTCCCACGCACGAAGTTTTTTACTCCGTGTATTGATTACTGAATTTTCGATTGGTGAATTTTATTTCGATGATGAAAAATTCGACGAGTCGATGGACTGCTGGATCTGTGGAGGGTGACTGACCGAGGGTAGTGCGATGACGAGGTTGGCGTTGCCCTCTCCGCGGTATTTCCACTTCTTCCCGCGCAGCGTGAGACGGTGAAGAGTGACAGAGTCGCTCGACCCCACCACCGCGTCCAGCATCCTCCCGGTCCGATCTCACACCTGCCAACAGAAAAAAAACACAAAATTATTGCCGTGAGAGTGAGGAGAGCGGAAAGTATCAAATTTTCGAAATCCAGTTTCACTGAAAAAAAAAAAAACACATTGGATCTCGAGTCCAGACTTTTGAAAACATTGACAAGAAAAAGGACTCTTCATTGAATCAGATTTAAGCTTAGATCAAAAGGAAATCCTCTCAAATTAAGAGGCTTGGTTCTTGATTGAACCCTTTGTTGCATGAGCTAATCGTTGATTTTTGAAAGAAAATTTGCATTGTACAGTATTTTTTCGACAATAGAGGCAATTGGAATCGGTTTTTGTGGGTTTTTTTAAAGTTAGGAGATCAGACTTAAATTGCTCCCCCCCAAAAAATTATTACTTTGATTCAATTTAATACTCCAGCATAAAAATAAAGCTGAAAAGCATTTGTTGCTTTCATGCAACGCTATGAAATAAAGGGTTAAGCTTAAATCTGATTGAATCAAGAGTAGTTTTTCTTGTCGATGTTTTTAAGAGTCTGGACTCTAGATCCAATGTGTTTTTTTCCAGTGTTCCTTCAAAATTCGTCTAAACCTTTTTACATGAAATCACTGAAATTGCTAAAGAGCGAAATTGATCTTGATGGAGAATTTGCACACAAAAATGTTACTGCTTCAGCTGAGAGTGCGTTATGAGCTGAGTTCGCAGTATTTTTCATAATGTTTTTCTGACATGGGGAATCGTATCTCATGAAACCTCATTATTATCCCGTTATCTCCTAAAAAATACTAACATAAATCCCTAGCTTTGAATACCGTTAGGGGCCTATACAAGTTAAAGTTCCTTAAAAACACAAAGACAATTTTTGGTAAAACCACACTCACTTGCGCTCACAGAGTCACGGCTGATGATGGCAGCTAAGGTCCCGAAACACGTCCCGTTACTTTAAAAAGAATTTTTTGCGCAAGTGAGTGTGGTTTTACCAAAAATAGTCTTTGTGTTTTTAAGGATAAATCGATATGATACCTCTACCCGATCACCTAACTAAACCCCTATAACTAGAACTAAGGTAAAATGCCCACAGTTGGTGTCGCAAGCGACGAGGAGCAAACGAATTCCATTACAACGCCTGGATGCAACTATTCGGGCTCAACGGATGTCCGTGTTGCATACGCACGAGGGTGAAGGCGTTTTAACTTCCCAAGCAACAGTAATTGATCAGTCCGAAGTGAAAGAAACCATGGTATGTAAATACTAACTCGGGGGATGACGTCACATTTATTGCTCATCTAAGAGCAGTGTTCGAAACTCATCTTTGAATTTCAGGAGCCATGTGGCCCATCAAGCTCGAGTTTTAGGGGCCATTGAAGATTGTTTAGGAGCCAAATTGACTTTTAGCCTAAATATCAAGGCGCATTTAGTGAAAAGATAGACGCAAAATCTTTTAGTTACCTACAGAACTGACAGCTGCAAGTAGTAACTTTCAATGAATCATCATACAGAAACAGTAAGGATTTTTTTTTTTTTTTTTTTTTTTTTTTTGGGGGGGGGGGGGGATTTTCAGGGGCCACATTGACGCAGAACGTTCATTTTTTAGGCGCGTTGGAGCCTGTAAGTTTCGAACACTGTCTAAGAGCAAGATCTACATTAATTTTGCACGCAGAAACTGTGCGTTTGGACGGATCACTTTGTGTTTGACGAATCTAAAATTTTAAACCATGAAAATGCGAATCTGTAACTATAACTAGCGCAACGATGACCCATTTATAGGACGTTATCGATGCGATCAAAGAGTTAGTTCTATGAGAAAGTTTGTTGACAAAATACACTACATTTTGCAAAGGGAGCTACAATATTTGTCTCAGTTCAGAAACAACGTAAGTAACACTAGCTTGCCTATCATGTGACCGATATAAGAGCTTCTCCGGATCAACGAGATATTGTGGTTCCTAATTTATTGCAAAATCAAGTCCAAACAAGTACATAAGTGCTGAAATTCTTACCCTGTCAAGTCGCAGTGATGATTTTTCACTTAAAAAAAAATCGGGTAGATTTTACCAGACACAGTGATACGAATATCAGGGTTGCCACAAAATTTAGAAAATGAAATTCCCTGACATTTCCCTGACACACTTTGGTGAAATTCCATGACATTTCCCGGTTTTCCCTGACTTTTTAAAATTCCCTGACATTTCCCGGTTTTCCCTGACTGTGGCAACCCTAGAATATGGTACCTAATAGACACCACTCTATGGTAGCATTTACCATATTGGTAAGTATCATCAGAGTTCTAGTGAATACTACTATAATTCTGGTTATTTTCACCAAATAGTATCACTGTATAAAAAATCAAGTAGACTTATAATAGATGTTCCCATAATTTTTTTCACGGTTGAAAGTTGGCAACAATATTATTCCTCCATTTAAATGTATGTAGATATCAATCGATTGGAGGCAAGACAGCTTGTCTCACCTAAAATCGATATTTTCAATGGATTTAAATAGAGGAAAAATAGTGCTGCCAACCTGCAAAATCGCCACTGTCCAGTGGTTGTCCCGTTGGATGAGCGACGTTGACTGCACGACGAACAAAACAGTGGCGTGGAGTGCTTTGCGATAAATTGATTAATCTGCCCCTTAAACCTATGGAGAAGAATCGATAAAAAGGGTGTTCGAAACGAACAACTTAATAATCGATTATTTATGACAGCTTGATATGGGGAAATATCGATAGATCGCTAAGCACGCCACGCCAATGGAACAGATGAGCTTGAACGATTGTCAACGTCAAGGCCCGCCAGAGGCCCAGAGCACGGTCTGCCAAGACAATATTCCAACGTTTTAAGGGAAAACGTCATATGCGCCTTCAGGCGTTGCCAAATTTCCTTCGATAAAATGAAAATTCGCTGGAGAACTCGTGGATATTTTCCTCCCAATTTTTCATGGAGTTTCGTTCGAAATTTAACCTCAAAAATTTGAAAATGTGAAGGAAAAACATTAAAAACTCACCTTAAAAATTGACATTTTATGGGAAGAAATTTGGCAACTCTCGAATGTTCATACGGCGTTTTTCCTTGACAAGGCAGCGCTGGGCCTCGCGCCAAAGCGGAGGAATCCCGTCGTGCTTAAGAAGAACGTCGTATGAACATTCGAATGATGCCAAATTTCCCTCAAAAGTATCGATTTTAAGGAAATGTATGCATATTAATCCTTGGAATATTCAGATATATTAGATTAAATGACGAACAAAACCGTCTGAAAAATTAGAAGAAAAACGTTTTGAATTTTACCGGTGGATGCGTTTTTCAACCGAACACCGGAAAAAAAAATTGGATCTAGAGTCCAGACTCTTGAAAACATTGACAAGAAAAAATACTTTTGATTCAATCACATTTAAGCTTAAATCAAAAGGAAATCCGCTAAAATTAAGAGGCTTGGTTCTTGATTTAAGCTTAAATCTGATTGAATCAAGAGTATTTTTTTTGTCGATGTTTTTAAGAGTCTGGACTCTAGATCCAATGTGTTTTTTTTCCAGTGAATGCGGCAGATGTGATTGGTCTTCTCTGTGTAAAACTTCCGGGAATGATATCTATTCGTTATCCTTGAACTCAAATAAAATGGAAACCGTAATTTTTAAACGCTGCAAACGAGATACGTGGTCTTGTGATTTTAACGTCGATATCCTGATACAGAATGAAAAATTGGAAGTACTCGGTCATTTCGGATCCTCGCAGTACATGTAGCCCGCCATGCGGTGCGCCGCGCCGCCGCGCGCCACGGATGAAGCGCTGCGTCCCTGTTCGACAGAGCACAGGGGAAAATTTTATGAGCCGTCCTGCGCCGTCTACATGGACCAATGTGTAATTTTAAAATCGAAAATTACCAAAAAAAAAAAAAAAAAAAAAAAAAAAAAAAAATACACTAAAAAAACCTACACGATACACGAGTCTCTCCGCCAGGGAGTTCCCCCCGTAAGAAATCGGTCACCACCCGCCCGCCGGGATAGCCGCGGCCGGCGTGCTGCCAGCGCGAAAGGCGCACTGACGCCTACAAACCTGACGGGATACTTCACGCAATGCTTGAAGTATCCTCTTAGGTTTGTAGGCGTCAGTGGGCGATCTGTACCACAGCTTCACATGGGGAAATATTGACACTCGACCGTTCATGCGCACTGACGCCTACAAACCTAACGGGCTACTTCACGCATTGCGCAATGCTTGAGGTATCCTCTTAGGTTTGTAGGCGTCAGTGGGCGCTCTTTACCACAGCTTCACATGGGGGAAAATTGACACTCAATCGTTCACGCCTCACTGATGGTCGCCAGGACAGATCACTGCAGGGCATCTACTATTTAATTTCGGATCTTCCTGATGATTTAGACACGATTTTCTGCTTTTTGCGCAAATATATAGACACTTGTTTGATTTAAAAAATCTACATTTTGATGAAATGAATTAAATGTTTGAGAAACGCTTGAAGCACTCAAAATTTCCAGATCCACGACGGATTTTCCGATATTTTCCTGTTTCTACTGACGTTCACAACCGGTGGCGACTTTTGAAATTTGACAACATTGCTTTTCTTACATTTAAATGAATGTAAAACAATCGATTCTTGATGGGGCAGCTTGCCGCGCGTAAAATCGCTTTTTAATGGATTCAAATGGAAGAAAAACAATCTTGCCAACTTGCCAAATCGCCGCTGCTCACAAGGAACATCATAATAATCGGTTCTTCGTTTTGGCTTCAAATGAAAAAAAAAAATATCGACAGCCAATTATTCACGCTTAACCACTAACTCTCCTTGTGAGGGTAATCTAGCGACTCTACCGTTCTTCGCAAAAACGTGTATGAGCCTTTAGAATCTGCCAAATTTCCCTTTAAAAATCACAAATTTTCGGGATAATTTGTCAACAAATTTCTTCCGAATTTTCAAAGAATTTTGTGCGTAATTTGATCTTAAGTGTCTGAAAATTTCAAGGGAAAACATTCATAACTGGACCACTTTAAACAGAAAGGAGCCAA